AATGTCTCCTAAGTCCAAAAGGAGTGATTTCTGAGTACAGAACCAGGAGGACCGCCTGGCTCTCCGGGTGTGGCCCCAAACCAAAAGCAAAGGGGGAAAAAAAAAGAACACTGACAGCATGGGTTTACAGAGGACTTCAAAACAAAACTACATTATCAGTATCATGTGTTAAAAAAAAAAAAGGAAATTTTAAGTGTAAAACATGACATGGATTGATACATAAAAATTTAGACCAGAAATCATTTCTCTAGGAAGAAGACAGGGGAATGGACTAAGGCTTTAGTGCTCTGTTTACAAGCACAGTTTAGAGAGCAAGAGATGTCATAGGCAAGGCAAAACAGAGACAGCTGGGGCCAGAGACGTAGGAGAGTGGGCAAGATGCTCGCCTTGCACGTACGTGTCCAGCCTGGGTTCAATCCCTGAGACCCCAGCCCTGCCGAGAGTAAGCCCTGGGCACTGCCAGTGTGGTGTCAAAACAACCCAACAAACAAAAAGCAAGCAACAAAATACTGATGGCTACTGAAAATCTTGTTTACAGACCCCAAATTGGGTTTACACCCCGAACTTTTCTAATAATTCACGCTTCAAATTCTTAACTGAAGAAAGGGGCAGGTCCCCAGAAGAACAGTCACTTCAAAAACACGGAGAAAAAAGTGAGGGGCAGGAAGTCTCCCCAGAAAGGTCGGGGAAGACTGGAATAATTCAGCTTCAGATGTACAATTCTTTAGCTCTGACTTCCTCAACACGGTGATTCAAACGGCCAAGAACGGGGTAGGGTGGGAGGCCGCGAAGAGGACAAGAAGGAAGATTTTATTGCCACCCAAAATCAGATACGAGGGCAATGAAAACCACCTTCCCACATAACACAAATGCCACTGGAACCAAGTCATCGCTGCTCAAACAAAGCCAAGGAAACGTCCAGCCACGCAGGAATTCAGATGTGAGTAGGTCTGTTGTGCCTCCTCCCTTCCCCCACTCACAAACAAAAACAAAATGTACCCTTGCCCACTTAAGAAAGAATGAAGAATTGGCAGCTGCCAGCAGCGGACAGTCTGCAAACCCCGGCCTGCTCTGGAGAAGATGCTGACAGGAGAAAGGAGAAAGGAGAGAAGAAATCAGCGCCCGGGGAAATTTTGAGGAAAGCTTAACAGTGGGGGGATCCATCCTTGCAGGTTTCTTGTGCCCCAACTTCCCCCCGGGGAGTTTAAGAACCTTAAAGGCTTTCTCTTAAACTGTTCTGTTTTTCTCCAGAAAAGTGACTGTAAAAAAAAAAATCCAAATTCTCATTCAGCATTTTATTGGATTTTTTTGTTTTGGGGGGTTTTATGGTCTTTGGGACCACAGCCAGTGGTGCTCAGGGATCATTCCTGGCCAAATCCAGGGAACCTGTGTCTTTGCCGGGATTGAACCCAGGCCCGCAAGTGCCCTACCCACTGTCCTATGATCTCTCCGGTGCTCAGCACTCTGTTCCCCACGCCCCAGCACTTTAACTCCAAAGCAATTCCCCTTCATAAAAATCCAACAAGACTCAGAACAACAGACATGAACATTTAGAATGCAGGTAGAATGATAATTCTTGCGCTCTTTCTTAAAGAGAATTTTTTTTTCTGTGCCCAATTATCAAAGCCTATTTCTTTGAACAACAGTTCTGCTGGGACTGGGAAAAGGGCTTCTTGGGCTGGAGCTCCGAACAGGTGTGCACAAATTCCTGGCACCTCCCGGCCTCCTGAGCACCACCCAGGAGAGCCCTGGTGGCACTTAGCACCGCGGTAGAGTCCCAACAGAAAAACAAAAGTTGTTCACTTGCAGAACTTAAAATGCAGTTGAAAAGAAAACAACTCAAAGAGAAGAGCTGGAAAGACAAATATATCTTGACACTCAATACAACAAATACCTGGACATACTTCTACCACTGAATCATCACAGCTAAAGAATCCAACAGGCCCTTCACACCACTCCAGGGCACTTATCAGCGAACCTAGGAGGACGGGGCTGCTCAGTCTAGACTAGCCACAGGGAACAAGAGGACGGAATGACAGAAGTCAGTGTGTCCAAGCACAGCAGTGTGGCAACACAGAACCAACATGCCAGGGAGTCAGAGAGGTGACTCAACTTTATTAATCACTTCCCATTATAGCCGCTTCAGACTCAAGTCCAGAGCATGCTACCACACTAAGTCATGCTGGGATCGGGGGAAATATCCTACAGTTCGTGGGGAAATGACGAGGGAGCTAAGAGAGCCAACAATCCCTCGAGTTCTCCGCTTCCACAATCCTATAGTCAGAATCACCCGATACATGTCTTGTTTACTGCGAAAGGTAACGAAGGTGTTCCTTTTCTTCTTCTTCTTCTTCTTTTTGCAAAGTCATCTTCTTTGTTCCTCTCCAGTCCACCCTACACACCACTGACAAAATCTTTCTGGGAAACAGAACTACCGACCAGCCAGGGCTTAAAACCCCTTCCAGGGTGCGTCTGTCTACGCAGCACGGAATATAACTGCCCGGCGCCGCCTCCTGCCTTACCTACTTCTCCTGTCTTCGGAACACAATCATCACATCAAGGTTACCTGCACCAGTTGGGCGATTTTGCTCCTTCGTGCTTTTGTCCATGCTGTTTTCTCGGCCTGTGATGCACTTCTTCCTGTCATCCGGACGGTACACCCTTAACTCATCTTTCAAGACTCAGCTCTAATTTCACGTCCTCCGGGAGGCCCTTTCCAAATCTCTGCATTTCCAAGGCAGAAGTGACCTTTAAGCCCTCCTGCGACACCCGGATTGTAGCATCGACCACACTGTGCTCCATCCCGACTGCATACTGACATGCGGGGCCGCCTGCTGCATCACAGCCTCGTACTAGCACCCAGGTACAACTCACGGACCCTCAATGCTCAGAAGAGGGGTCACAGGGAGGAGATCTTTCGCAGGAGACCTGAAGGCAGAGGCAGCAGAGGAAAGAAACAGGCGCAGAGGGCAGAAGGGAAGAACTGAGCGAAAAGTGGACGTTCGCCTGACTTTTTCTCTCTGTCTTCTGCATCTTGAACATCTGTAAACCTCCAGGACAGACTGACACAACTGTGGGGAGGGCACTCGCCTTGCACGTGGTCAACCAGGGTTTGATCCCTTCCGAGAGTCCCAGATGGTCCCCCGAGCCCACCAGGAGTGATCCCTGAGCACAGAGCTAGGAGTAAGCCCTGAGCACTCTCAGGCCCCAAAATAGAAACCAAAACAAACCAAATCAAACCTCACCTCCAAACCCAGGGTACCCACTTGGATCCACACCACCAGGAATGATCCCTGAGCGCAGAGCCAGAAGCCCTGAGCACCATCAGGTTGGTCCAAAGCCCAAAAAGAAAGAAAACAGCGAAGTTACACTGACAAAGGACTGCCCCCACCCCCCACAGCCTTCACAGTAAGGTCGATGTCTCTCTCCCAGTCTTCTCCCTTCCCCTCCTGATCCCACCCCTCCCATGCCAGCTCATCACCTCACGTCTCTCCACCTAGGACCCGTACCCCAAGGTATCTGATTCCTGCCCTAGTCAAAATTCCTCAGTGATCCACTATTTCCCATCATCTTAAGTGAGATCCCGCCAAGCCCAGCTCCGGCCCAACAGGGCAACCGTCCACTTGTTCCCCTATCCCGCTCAGCACCACCTCAAAACCATCGTTAAGAATATTCTTTTCAAGGTCCTGGCTATCCCTCAGCTCCACGATGCAGTGACTTTGTTGTTTTCTCTTCATCCATCATTACTAAATCCATCACAATCACTTAGAAGTAGCACTGTCCTCCCGTTGTTCATCCATTTGCTTGAGCGGGCACCAGTAACATCTTACAACAAATTGTGAGACTTGTTGTTACTGCTTTTGGCATATCGAATACATCACGGGGAGCTTGCCAGGCTTTGCCGTGCGGGTGAGATACTCTCGGTAGCTTGCCGGGCTCTCCGGGAGGGACGGAGGAATCGAACGTGGGTCGGCCTCATGCAAGGCAAAAAAACGCCTTACCCGCTGTGCTATTGTTCCAGCCCCACTTAGAAGTGACATCTCAAAAAATCTGAATTCCCAAGGTGTTTTTCTCAAGTGATTTCCTATCCAAATTCATTTCCTAAAGAAAAATTAAAGGGTAAGACATAAGCCCAAACTACACCGTTGAAAATAATCCTGTGGAAATTAAGATTTCTGACAGCCCACGTTACTGGAGGCTCAGAAAAACCAACTACTCCTGACATAAGAGGTGGGGAATAATCCTGAGACCATGATGTCATAAGTACACAGTCTGGGGATGAGGAGTTGGGAAACAACAAGAAAGCAATGAAAAGCTATGGTAAATGGTAAATGTGTTAAACATTAACTAGTTAAACATGGACACTTCTCCATTAAAATTTTTTTTTGATTAGCCATATTTTCAAACAAGTTTACTTTAAAAAGAAAAATCTGATTTTCAGTAGAATGCATATTGGGACAAGCCCCTCCAAAGCTCAATAGGATTTCTACAGATGGTGGGTTTTTTTTTTTTTTTTAACGTGCTAGGGATCAAACCAAGGAATTCACAGGTTTGGGGCAAAAATGTCTCATCACTGAGTCATATCCCCAGCCCTCATCCTGAGTTTTCGAGTGAAGACTCATTCAAGTCATGACACAGGCGTCAACTGCCAATGGCTCTCACACAACTCAGAAGCCACATTAGCCCCACACAGTCCTTGAAGTTTGGGTTTCATGACTATACTTAATAGTCCATCCACAAGCTGATTATTCATATTTTATGGGTTTCTAAAGCAAAATCCTTAATCCAAGATGCCTTCGGTACCCTCGCCTTACCACCTCGTATGACAACTAAAAACACAGATTCACTCGAGTTCAGTATTGAGTTCCTAAACAACAAAATTCATCTGGTTTTTAAAAAGTAACATCTTTAAGCCAAGAACTTACTAGCTTCTGATTCACCAAATGGATGCCTGTAACAGCAGAGATAAATGAAAATCTACTGCATGGATATTCCTCACCATGAATCCTACAGGAGAATCCGGCGAGAGTCTGGACACGTCCCCAGGGGAGCAGGTACAGTCGAGTAGGGGCACAGGCCGAACTCAGAAGAGCGAGTCAGGTGTATGCCCGTATCAACCGCACCAAAGCATCTTGTTTTCTGTTTGACCCCTGGAGCTCAGGAGGACCCAGAGTGAAGCAGAAGAACCCAACACACTTGTGCCTGCTACCTCTGGTCCAGAGTTCCTGGAGCAGAGGGCTCATGCCTCTCATGAAATCCAGCCTTTGTTCCAGGACCTACAATACTCCACTGACATTTGCATCAACACCCAGCAAAGTTTGGCCTCCAAGTGCCCTCTGCCCGCCTGCCTGGTCTGCCCATGACTTGACCGACCCACAATCAGTGTGACCGCCAGTGATTCCCCTCACCGGCACAACCTCAGTTGTTCACGGGACCACAGTGCCTGCACGCTCCACACTTTTGCTGGGTGAGGAGCTTTTCCTTTATGGCTGTCCCAGTTCTCTGGACAGCTCGCAGATTTGACAGAGAGATGGAGAAGGAAATTGTTCAAGGTCACGGCGTAAAAAGCAGAGCCGTGATTTGAACCGAGTACCACTAAGCCCACAGCCCAGGTCTCTATAACTAACTCTGATCCAGTCTCCCAAGTCCACCTGAAAGTTCATGGAATCATAAATCTTCCCTACATTACCCCAGTGGGGTTTTGCTTTTCTAGCCTTTATGTAATTCCATTTATAGCACATTAGACAGTTTTGTGTCTATTCCTAAATGTCAAAGCTTGTTATAATATTAAAAATGAGAGAGAGAGAGAGAGAGAGAGAGAGAGAGAGAGAGAGAGAGAGAGAGAAGAAAAGCGTTCGCCAAAGAGGCAGGCAGGAGGAAAGGGGTTGGGGGGGGTGATGGGAGGGAACCTGGGGACACGGGTGCTGGGAAGTGTCCACTGGCGGAGGGACGGGTGTTGGAATACTGTATGGCTGAAATCCAATCTTGAACGGCTCTGTAATGCTCTAAAAGTTTTTTAAAAAAATAATAAATCTTTATCTGCTTTATCTGCTTTGCCATTTATTTATAATTCTACCCGTTCTAAGATCAAGAACACCTGTTTTCACACCTCGCATATCCCCTAAAAGCCTGCTACTGGCGTATGGAGGCTTCTTTTAGTCACAGGAATGTTGAATCATTTGTCCAGCAGGTAAGTCTTGATTTAAAAACTCAACTCCCTTCTAGCATATTAAAAAAAAAAACAACTCAACAAAATCCAGGCATCAACTAAAATCACGCCAAAACTCCCTCTGCTTATAGCTGTCCACTACACAGGCTTGCGGCCTCTGAGTGTACGAGGCGCTGTGGAAAAGCTTCCCCCCATTCACTAGTGCCATAGCACTGAAGTCCCCAGAGGGCGGCCACTTCAAAGCACTGTTTCGGGATTTGGCCCCTGCTGGGGTGAATGGTGGTAGAAAGGGGGGCCCCTCAGTGTCTTCTGCCAGCATCCTTAGCAGGCTCCAGGCCAGTGCTCCAATACATTATTACCAAGTGACAGGGTCCCAGAGCATTCTGGAAACTTAGCATTCTAGTCACCGAGTTACTCCATCCTAATTCACTTGGTTAATCGCACTGCATCTCGGAATTCCAAACAAAGCCTCCTGAAAACTGATATAAGTGCAGGCTTTGAGGTACACACCCTTAACTTGAGGCTTATTCAACCTGTTTCAATCCCCACTAACAATGAATTATACGTGCACAACTCAACTAGGAAGGCTGGTTTCTGCAAAGAGAATGAGACTATACCAGGTATCATCATTAATACCCACACCAACCAATTCGCACGTGGAAACAATTAGAGATTCTGGGAAGGTCTGATTTTTTTTTTTAAGTTAGATCTTTTATCCTCCAAATCAAGTCTTCTTTCAGTACGGTCCCCCAAAAAAAGCGATGAAGGAACTTCAGGCAAACTTCCAAACTACTAGTGACACAATTCCATCGAAGTTCAATGCACAATGAGCCTTTATTGCTGATCAAGTGGCCTACCAGCAGACAACTGTTTGCTCAAGGAGTTGTCTGCTGATAACGCAAACCCCAGCCACCCAAGAGAACATCTGCATTACGTGAACCGGTAAGTCAGGCAACAACAAAATAAGTCAGTTTGGGGACACCGCCTCCCTCCCATCTTCCCTTCCTGCTTGAATGCAGAATGCCTAAAGTGGCTGTTTGATTCTAAATTATTCATGATAGTGGATAGCTGCCGAAGGAAGGTGCTAGAGAATCTAGAAATGGAAAAAGAAAATTGAAAACGAACCTATTTTCCTTCGGGTCTATCTTTTCAGCACCTTTACATTTTCAATGATCAGCAGCGTGAGCGAATACGGGTATCCATTTGCCACCTCTTAAGTACGGAGTAACCGGCCACGGAGGGAAGCACCCTAGGAGGTGGCCCAGTCCGGGGCTGGTTGGTGTTCAGCCCCCAGGGGCGCCCCAGGGACCCCGCTGATCGCACAGAGTCGCGCATCCTGCCAGGGAGCCGCACCGGCCCCCGGGGGCGCCCCAGGGACCCCCGCTGGTCGCACAGAGTCGCGCATCCTGCCAGGGAGCCGCACCGGCCCCCAGGGGCGCCCCAGGGACCCCGCTGACCGCACAGAGTCGCGCATCCTGCCGGGGAGCCGCACCGGCCCCCAGGGGCGCCCCAGGGACCCCGCTGACCGCACAGAGTCGCGCATCCTGCCCGGGAGCCGCACCGGCCCCCAGGGGCGCCCCAGGGACCCCGCTGACCGCACAGAGTCGCGCATCCTGCCCGGGAGCCGCACCGGCCCCCAGGGGCGCCCCAGGGACCCCGCTGACCGCACAGAGTCGCGCATCCTGCCAGGGAGCCGCACCGGCCCCCAGGGGCGCCCCAGGGACCCCGCTGACCGCACAGAGTCGCGCATCCTGCCAGGGAGCCGCACCGGCCCCCAGGGGCGCCCCGGGGACCCCGCTGACCGCACAGAGTCGCGCATCCTGCCCCGGAGCCGCACCGGCCCGCGGGTTGCCCGGCTTTAAAAAGCAACGAGGATGGAGCGCGCAACTTGGCGCACCCTGGACGGCAAACGCTCGATCCGAACTCGGATTCCTGGACCACCCGCCCCAAGCCCCTGCGACCTCCTTTGCTGGCTGGCGTGGAAACGCCTGGAAGTTCTTGAAGTCGGGCAGGACCGCGCGCGCTCCTCGGGGCCGGCCCGGGCGCCAGCTGCCCCCCGCCCCCCGTGCCACCCGAGAAGCGGGCACCGCGCGCCAGGGCAGGGCCGCCACCCCCGGGAGGGGCGCGGCGGAGGCGGAGTGCGGGGTCCGGCCCTGCCCTGCCCCGACGCCCCTCCCGCCAGGCCCGAGACCCGCGGGGCCACCAACCTCGGCCGCCGAGAACTTTCGCCCCGAAAGTGGCCCCGGCCCGCGCCCCCACGTGCGCGCGCGCCCCCCGCCCGCCCCTCCCCGACGGGTGGCGGCGCCGGGGCGGGGGCGGGGGCGGGCGCGGCCGCTCGGGCGCGGGGAAAGTTCGCGAGCGCGCGGGGGGCGGGGCAGGGCGGGGGCTCCGTTACCCGCGCGACTCCCGGGGGGCGCTAGGCCCGGCCGCGGCTCCTCATCCCGCTGCGTGACCCCGGCCCGGGCCGGACGCTGCCCGGACGCGCTGGCGGCCGCTCCGCGCGGGGCCGGGACGCGGGGCCAGGCGGGGCCGAGGCGGGCGGGCGCGCTCGTTGCCCCGGGGCTGCCGCCGGCGCCTTCCACGCGCGGCCGCCGCCCCGACTCCGGCCGCAGCTCCTGGATCGGCGGCTCTCGGCCGGCCGGCCGGAAACTAACTCACGCCAGTTTCCGGCCGGAGCGGGTTGGCGGTAACACAACGGGCGGGCGCCCTCCCCCACCCACCCCCGCCCTGCTCCGCCGGCCCCGCCCCGCCCCGTGGAGGCCCCGCCCCGCCCCGTGGAGGCCCCGCCCCGCCCCGTAGAGGCCCCGCCCCGCCCCGTAGAGGCCCAGCTCCGCCCCGCGGAGGCCCCGCCCCACAGAGGCCCCGCCACGCCCCGTAGAGGCCCCGCCCCACCCCGCGGAGGCCCCGCCCCGTAGAGGCCCCGCCCCACCCAGTGAAAGCCCCGCCCCTGCAGGCCCCGCCCCGCCCCGTGCCGGCCCCGCACCACCCCGCGGAGGCCCCGCCCCGTGGAAGCCCCGCCCCTGCCGGCCCCGCCCGGCCCCGCCCAGCCCCGCGGAGGCCCCGCCCCGCCCCGCCCCGCCCCGCCCCACTGCGCCGCCGCTTCCCCGGCCGCCGGGAGTTGGGGGCTCTGTCCTAGACCCCTGGTCCCGGGAGTTCTCGAACTCGCGCTCTAAGGGCCCACGGCGGACTCTTGGGACTTTCAGGTCGAACCGGTTGGCTCCGCTTTTGCGGGGAGAAGCGGAAAAGGGAGGGAGAGTTGGAGACTGCGTGGGGGTGGGGGGGCGGGGGGAAAAGGCTTCCGAAAAACGTTGGGATCCTGGGGACCCCCGCACGGTCGTTCGGACCCACCCACCCACCGGGAACCTGCAACTCCCGGACCGGTCCCCGCCGCCTGTGCGCTCCTGCAGGGAACGTGCCCTGCGCCGCGATCGATTGTGAGATCGTGTTGCTGCCACCGTTGCCTTAGGTGGCCAGAAGAGCCCTCGTGGAGGGAGCATTTCAGTGACGTCTTTCAACGGCCTTGCAGGGTAATTTAACAGGCACAAAGCCCCTACTGTGTGCAAGACGCTGTGCTCACGGGCACTGGAGGCACGGAAGTGGAAATGACTTAAGGCGTTGCATGCAACTTAGCAGGGTTTGAGCCCCTGGGGGGTTTGGTCTGCATCTCATGTAGTCTTCTGAGCACTGCCGGGAGTCATTGCTTAATGCTCCTGAGCATCAACCGAAAACAAACAAAAAAACCCCAAAACAACCCTCCCCCCCCATGAAACTCCCGAGATTAAAGAATCTTACTTTTTAGGCTGGAGCAATAGCACAGCGGTAGGACGTTTGCCTTGCACGCAGCCAGCCCTGCCGGGTTCTGTTCCTCAGCCCAAGCTATGACAGTATCTCTCCGGTGAAGTATTCCATATGCCAAACACAGTAACAAGTCTCACAATGGAAACATTACTGGGCCTGCTGGGGCAAATGGGTGAACAACAGGAGGACAGTGCTACAGTGCTACATTTTAGTAAAATAGGTGGAACAATTCTATAGGGCAAAGAACTCATATATACTGTATATATATATGAGTTACAGTGAGTTATGACTATCAAAACATTAAGCTCTTAAGCCGGAGTCTGGTGTAGGATGTTAGCTCTAAGCGTTTAAGGCTTCATCAATGAACTGCCCCTTTCCCTCCTCCCAGAGAAGCTTACTAAGCTCTTGATAGCATCCCTAAGTGAGTTAAAGTTTATCTTTAACCTTTCCTTTGTGCTTTACCTCTCTCATGGTCACAGTTCCCCAAGTCAGTCTTAGTTACTCACAAGCCAAGACTTCCTGGTAAAAGGTAAGATAAAGGTAAAGGCCCTCCCGTTGATCGTCGATTTGCTCGAGCGGGCCCAGTAACGTCTCCATTGGAGACTTTGTTGTTACTGTGTCTGGCATATCGAATACTCTCGGTAGCTTGCCGGGCTCTCCGAGAGGGGCGGAGGAATCGAACTCGGGTCGACCATGTTGGCTGCGTGCAAGGCAGACGCCCTACCCGCTGTGCTATCGCTCCAGCCCAAGACTTCCTGGTAATTCTGTATTTTGCATTTGTAGTTGATTACTTCTTTTCTATTTCCCCTCTGGCCTTTTTAGATTTTACTATGGAGCAATGCTCTTTGGTTAAACACAGAAAGACCATTAATGCTATGCTCCTAATACTTGGGAGTTGATTGACTGAAATATATCTGCTCTTGGGCATAATTACTTCATCATAATTACTCGACTCAGGCTTCAGTTGCTGTAGTTTCCTAACACCCCAAAAGGGAGGTCCCACGGTGGGATTGGGATGGACCCAAGGCGAGTGTTGCAAGTATTGATAAGAAGTAAACTTAATTGTTTAACAAATACAACTAGAGGGAAAGACGATAGCAATGTGAATGTCCCTGAGAGACCGGTGTCTCCTTAAATTAATCTCCCCAAGAGAACGGCCTCTGCCAAAGGTTTTATCTCTGTAAATGCCAATTATACCTATGTACTATATCTCAACTCCCCTTAGATGTTCTGTAAGTATGTTGGAAGCTCTGCGTTAAACGGGCCATTTTCACAATCAGTCTGTGGTCCCCTGTCTCTTTGTGTCTCTGCTGGGGAGGCCTCGGGAGGACAGGAGGCAGCTCTCGGCCAGGCCACCAAGTGCAGGCCACCGAAAGCAAGGGATACGCAGCACCCTCACAGTCTGGAACTTAGCAAACCCTCTTTCCAGCTTGTTGACGGAATAAATAAGGAGACTGATTTAGATTTATACATTTATAAATCTATGATTTGCATTTATAAAGAAGAATGACTGATTTAGATTTATAGATGAGGCGCTTCAAAAACCTTCCACCTATCTTAGGTTTCAGATCCAAGGCCCTGTCAGGATGACTTTATGCTCATCTCTTAACTGTCTTTTCGGGTTTTTTTTTTTTTTGAACTTGCTATCAAGATGTAGCAAGACCAGGCCCAGTGCTCACAGGCACACTCCAGGCTTGGTACAAAGCAGACTTTTTCTTTTACTTTTTGGCCATGATCACAAGAAGGTGCCCAATTTGAAAGCTGGCCCAAGTTGCCAGTCAAATGCATCTGGATGACCACGTTTTCCAGGCTTGCCTGGACACTGAGGGACCAGAACGTGGCAGGGCCTCTGTGGCTTTGCCCCTGTTTTCTTGCTGTGGCCATCCATCTTGCTGTTAGTTATGCAGTTGCTCAACGAGCTGTTTGTTTTGGGGGCAACCCCGCTGTGTGGGTGACACTGTGGTCAGCTGGGCTGAGAGCCAGGTCACCTGGGTTCTGCATCCAGCTCGTGGCCCCTTGCCCACAGAGTGGCTTCTGTTCCTGTGTGGCCGTCTTTCTGCCTAGAAACCAAGGGCTTTGGTGACATGCAGCCAGGCATGTGGGCTGTCACACTGCCCGTGCTCAGGAGCAGCTGTCAGATGTGTTCTCCGAAGTCAGACATGGCTGAGGATTCTTGGCTGGCCTGCCAGAGAGGAATAGTCACGAAGCAAAGTGAAAGCATCAGAGAAAACCCTCACCACGGGGCCAGGGCCACAGACCTGACGGTGGTTCAGCACAAAGTTCTTTCGCCTCAGAGATCTGTTTTGCTCTCCTTTCAGCAATTCTGAGAGCTGCTCAGGGAACTTCCTAAACTTTCACTCTTACACAAGAGCACAAAAAACAAACTTAAGATAAACATTTCTGCACTGGACAATAGACTGAATAGGGGGAAATCTTCAGATAACATTTTCTGCTAAACCAGGAAAAAATGGTAAATTTATGCATTTGTTATAGAAAATCAAACCAAAATAATTTCTGTTCCACTATTACAGTATAATTCACGCCAATAGCTCTGTAAAGATGGCTGTTGGTTTGTTTGTTTTGCTTTGGGGCCCCACCTGGGAGAGCTAAAAGCTTATTCCTGGCTCTGTGCTCAGGGATCACTTCTGGTGGGTTCAGGAAACCATATGGGGTATTGGAGATCAAACTTGGGTCAGCCAATTGCAAGGCAAATGCCCTACCTGCTGTACTATCACTCCAGTCCCAGGTTGGCTATTTTTAATTAAATTACATACTAAATGTGTGTAGAAATCCCAGATTGACTAACTCAGAATTTTTGAAAGTGGTGACCAAGAATCTCTACATTTTCCAAAATATTGACAACTGTTATAGTGTAAATACATTTCTACTCTCTGACCCACTCCTAGGTACTTGCCCTCTAGGAATGAAAACATATCCACACAATGATAAATACATGCATCATAACAGCTTTATTCCTAAAAAACTGACCTGGAGACACCTCGACTATTACCAGCTGAAAGAAACAGCATAAATGCACTGTTCACATAGCAGAATATATTTCTTTAGTTAGTTTGGTCCACGCCTAGCAAGACTCAGGCACTGTAGCACTGTCCTCCCCTTGTTCATCGATTGGCTCAAGCGGACACCAGTAATGTTTTCATTGTGAGACCTGTTGTTACTGTTTTTGTCATATTATTTAATATTTAATAGCTTGCCAGTCTCTGCCATGTGGGCGGAATACTCTTAATAGCTTGCTGGGCTCTCCAAGTGGGGCGGAGTAATCGAACCCAGGTCCGCGGCGTGCAAGGCAAACGTCCTACCCACTGTGCTATCGCTCCAGCCCGTACTCACTCTGGTTTCTCTTCAGATCGCATAAATCTCACCCACCAGTTGAGGGGTGAGAGCAGAATGAAAGAGAAATGGGTGAAACACTTATGAAAATAAGCTCCTGGTTTACAGCGTAGATTTCTTAGCTCAGTACAATGTTACTACACAACATTCCTGTCTTGTCCTAACTTCAGGATAAGGCTTGCTAATTTCCGTCTCCAGATTTGTGTTTTCCTTCTTTCTGGTCATTTGTTTACTTTCTTCTGTTTCAGGTGCCAGGCCTGACCATGCTCGGGGAATGTTCCTGGCTTTGTGCTCAGGACTGACCCCTGGTAGTGACCACATGTGGTGCTGGGGATCGAACCAGGACAGCCATGTACAAGACACAGACTTCTCTCTTGTGCTTATGTCTCTGCACTTGTGTATTTTTCTTTTTTTTCTCTCTGGCGCCGGAGCGATAGCACAGCGGTAGGGCGTTTGCCTACGCAGCCGGCCCAGGCTAGCCGGGTTCGATTCCTCCGCCCCTCTCGAAGAGCCTGGCAAGCTACCAAGAGTATCTACCAAGTGTATGTTGCCCGCATAAGCCTGGCAAGCTCCCCGTGACGTATTCGATATGCCAAACACAGTAACAACAAATCTCACAAAAGAGACGTTACTGGGCCCGTTGGAGCAGCTCGATGAACAACGGGAGGACAGTGCGACAGTGCTACATCTCTCTCTGAACCAGTATTTATTTTTATTTTTTAATTTTCAGCATTTTTATTGAGGTACTGGGATTTACAATGCTGCTAATTATATTTTTTATGCATACACCCTTCCAATACGACACCCATCTCCAGAAAGCCTGCCTCCCTTGGGGCTCCAGAGGGCCCCTTCCAATTCCCAACCCCATGAAAGCTCAGTTCTATAGATAAAACCTTCAGTTCCGGTGACCGACAATTTGTTGTCCTCTTACTACATTCATTTCTTTCTTTCTCTCTCTTTCTCTTTCTTTCTCTCATTTTTAGGCCACACCCAGTGGTGCTCAGGACACCATATGTGGGGATTATCCTTAACCCTATACTATCTCTCTGGCCTCAGTATGTTCCTTTTTTATTCCACATATGGGAAATATTTGTGTGTGTATGTATATGTGTGTGTGGACATAGTGACACCTACACACAGAGATGAATAGAGCTAAAACCCAGAAATTACGCAAAATTGTAACTCAAGTTGAAAAAGTAAGTTTCTTTCAAAAACTTTTATATTTTAAAAACATAAATTTTGTCATATTTATACATTTAAAAATAACGTTATGAGTGATTCTGTGCTCATAAATTTTTAATTTTACATAAAGAGATA